GGATGCTGAACTTCTCGTGGAGGAAAGACCCTGCTGGAGCTCCTCGCTGGCCCATCCTTGCCGTGGGGATTTGCACCTCGGAGCAGGAGGCAGCAGAGGGTTTGTTCAGCATCGCTGTACCCTGGCATTTCAGCCATGCTGAGGACTGGCAGGTCCCACCAGTGGCTATAGCACTAGCCTGAAGACCTGAGCCTCAGGAGCTTGCCAGCTGAAATAAGAGAATGGATTTAGCATCCCCATCCTTACAGTACATATTTCTTTAAGGATGCCTAAGTTTCTGAGTCCCACTGAAATCCCTTAAAATGCTAGCCAGAAAAGTAATGCTCTGAATAGGAACGCATGAGCCACGTCTGCTGCATGAATCTGGGGAAATCATTTCACCTTTTGGTACCTCAGTTTCATGGTATAAATAACAGGTGTAATGTTGCTAATGCCATCTGAGGGCTGCAAAAATGAAAGATTCTGTATTATTGAGTTCCCAGAAAAGCAAAGTCATATATAACACTGATATAAGTATTTTCTGCATGTCATAGTTTGAGTTGGTTTTGTGGCGTCCTTCAGGCAGCCTTGAAAATTTTTGTGCACGTGCATCTGTACATCTGTGGGTGCCTGTCTCTGCAATGCAGAACAAGACACAATATGAACTCATTTTAAAACCCACCATCCTGGTTCTTGGGCTCCCAGTATTTATGTCTCGGTAATTACAGAATGACATGATAAAGCGTGAAAGAACAGAAACTTGCAAATCAGATGCGCAGAAGTCAATTCATTTAATCAGTTCTGCTGACTCAGGAAAATGCGAGAGGAAGGCTGAGCCTCTGAACACAGGCGTCAGCAGAACTCAAAGAATATATGAAGAATTGCCTTGGACCTAACCCCACTTAGCTCACATTTCGTGCACTGGGACGTGTTCCACAATTATCTCACCCACTTTCTCCATCGCAAAACCTATGAACGTTTGCTTCCCAGCCTAAAGCGAAAGACATCCCAAGCCCTGAGTCTAATCCCCAGGTGTGAGCTCAGACTGAGCTGGAGAAGAGCCTTCTATTTCCAGATGTGAGCAGCTGTGGTCAATAACCAAACCCATCGTGATACCTGCATTACAGCTAAGACTGTACTACTACAGACGGCCACAGTAAATGAGGAAAATTGAAAGAAATACGGAAAAAAACATTATTTTAGTCATTGAGGCAATGCTTCTGTAGAAACGTAGTTTGTGTCATGATCTACAGGCACAGGAAGAACTAAATTAACATCCTTCAGTTTGAGTATTTCCTGACTTGTAAGTGCTTGCGATGTTCAGGTCTGTTAACATCATGTTTTACGTGGGAGCTGGAGAGTGGGAGAAGGGGGTATGCAGCTATGTAAGAGTGGTAAAATATTTGAGTTGAAAGAAAAGACAGAAGACTATCAGGGACCTGTAGGGAGTTGTATGATGTCATTATGCTGCATTTATGACACCAGTATTGAATATGGTGTATAATCCTGGTGGTTTATGTTTTTTAAAAAATGTTGAAAGATTAGAAAAGAGCCATGCAAATGATTTAAGAGCTGAGAAATGCAGCATAACTCCACTTGCGACATCATGTAGTCCAAGAGGAGGCTGAAGCCCACATATACAGGAGACATTTCTGATAGCATATTTTTAATAAAAAATGCAAAAGAAGATTGACGAAGTGGTGCTTAAAGTTGGAGGTATTTAGGCAAAAAGGGGAATGTAAACACATCCCCACAATGGAAATTAAGCATTGAAACAAACTTTGTGGGAAAGGGATGGCTATCCGGTCACTCCATGTCCTTAAATGAAGCTGGGTATTTTCCTATGAGATGTGCTCTACATTAAATACAGCTTATGGTTAACAGGTGTAAAAATCTCCTGGTGCACAGGTTTTGTGCAGGTGAGAGTAGTGGACATGTTCCCACCAGCCTAGAAATCTGTCAATCTGTGAGAATCTATTTTCTCCCATTTGTGGGATGTATTATGTCCTGTTTCATTGGGGAGGGGGGGGACATAGATAATACAGATGTAATTTGCCTTCGGGCCAGAAAGAAGCCAGCATCAGAGCCGGAGCTTTTCAGCAGCTTAGCCCCTGAATGTGTGGGGTGACTTTTCTCCTTCCAGACCAGCAGCAGGTCAAAGGATACGGGTTAGAAATGCTTCTGAATTCCCTGAACCTCCAGTCTCCACAAAATTGCAGAGACCCCTGATATTTGCTAACATGTATTGTAATATCAGGCTGACACAGGGACAAAGTGTCCTCGTGGCACTCGCTATTGACTTTAACATGGAGCAGGCAAAGGGAAAAGTGGGTTTAGCTTTTTTGACTCCCAGAAAGCATGCAGGTGAGTGCTTGAAAACCAGAGAAGTTAGCCCTTTCTCTGCCCAAAGCACTGGCCATCTCTGAAACAGAGGTGATACGTGGCAGCCCTGAACAAACAGCACTTTCTCGTCCTTACGAGGACATCACAAAATATAGCAAGAAAGATAAGCGAGGTGTTGCAGCTACTGTTTCTCTCTTCAGCTCTGCTGTTGTTATTATTGCCATTTCTCCCTTTCAAACCATCTCCACCCTCTATGTAGTTCATCCACTTGATACGTCCTCGCTGGCCATCGCAACCGTCTGTCTGGAAAGAGGTTTTCCTGTTGTGCACATCATTCTAATCATGGGAGCAAAGAGAAATCTACTAATATTGGTAAAGCTGTACCCTGTTCCTAGTATTGTTCTGAAAGTGAGCAGTCCTACATTAGCTACATTAATTTCACTAAAATATGCCCCCAGAGGGTAGTTAATAGAAGATGAAGAGGGTATAATCACATTCCAGCCCTGCTGTCCTCTCTTACAGATGTCCTGTGCTTTGAATTGGGGCAGCTTAGGTAGACAGCCTTCTGCTAAAATATGTTCTATGCGAGGAAGCTCAGGAACTCATTTTCCATGGTGTTCCATCCATTTGCTTGTGTGTGCTCTAAGGTTGGAGGCCAAGACTGTAATTAAGGGAGCGAGCATTATTGCTCTATAGCAACCATATCTGCACATGGCAAGGCCATTTCCTGCTGGAAGAAGCAAAGATCTCTCTCGACTCAGTGTCACCGGCTTTCCAGCCCCTAAACCCCAAATCCGATACTTCTCTGTCAGCAGCCACAACATTTTATAAGCTGTAAAATTTCAGGCTTTCAAAACATTTGCACAGCGATGGAGTTGGCTTTACTGGGGCTCTCATATCCTCAGGCATCTTCAAAAACGCTCTGTGCCTTAGGGAGCACTTGTTGCTGGAGTACCAAAAAGCTCTCAGCTCTGTTGGCTCTCGCCAGCAGCGGGGAGGACTAAATGTAGGTCCTGCTTCATTTTCTAATCTTAATGAGCCTGCAGGCTGGGCTGGGACACGGAGAGGGAGGGTAGCAGCAAAGTGGGGAGCAAAGATGCAGCCCTTCAGGAGGGTGGGCATGCATTTTTCCGGCTGGGGAGCGCAGTTCTGGTGGCCCCTGTGGGGTCCTGCCTACGGGCACAGCAGCAGGAGTCGCGCTGTCGGGCTGTCAGCAAATGAAGCTATTGGTGATAGAAAGACTGAAGCAATATGAGTCAAAGATAGTAGTAAGTTTGATGATGTCCTGCTTTTCTGAAACATGCAGGAACAGCATGGGAGATTTTTCCATTAGTTTCGGAAGAAGATTTATAGCGTAAGCTCACCTTTCCCTTTGAATGAGACATGAACTGCCTGAACTCAAACCCATTAAATATTTTTTTCTTAATAGCTTATTCTTTGATTTTAAATAGAGCTCTAGCCTTGCACTTTTGTATTGCCATTTTGTGTGAGTAGATGGGATAAGAAATTAGACCCACAGCTTATGGGTAGCTGCGATGTTTGTCAAAACATACAAAGCAGCTTTGACCTCTCTGCAGTCTTTTCTTTCCTCGGGGCTATAATTCTAATAAATAATTTTGGCTGTAGCTAAGAAAATAATCTATTTTTCTGCTTCATGAATATTTCCTCTCTTCTTTTCTACCATAAGGGATTTAGAAATAATGGAGTGAATTTATGGCAGGGCATTCCCTATTTCACAGGTACAAATCAAAGTAAGTACATGTCCAGCTACCTGTATGTCTGTATAAATCAGGTAGATTACCAGTCAATTAATTCCACAGGTGTAAGATAAGCACACAGAGCTTATGCATTACTCCTCTGAACGAACCCTTGTACAAACCTCAGCTTCTGCCTGAGCAAGGACCAGTAAGTTCGTTACAGTGGGTTTGCTTGGCTTTCATAAAATTGCCAAATTACCCATCTGAATTGGAACACAGATGACAAAACCAAAAGCAATTCCTGAAAATAAGACTCAGCCAGCTTTGTGCTCAGCCCGCCCGCTGGAGGAGCGTTATCCCGGCATCTCTGCGGTCAGGGGTGCCAGACAGACAATTGTAGCATCCTGCGCAAGAGCCCATCTGTTCCCCTTGCTGGTCGCTGACGTTTTGGAGCATGGTCACAAAGTACCCAAAATCCAGGTTATGGATGGCAGGTGACAGGGGCAGGGATCAGTGGCACTTCAGGGCAGAAGCTTTCGGTATTGAAGACGTGCAACTACATGCCTTTATGAGTTTGGTATCTGAGCCTAGGACAGGTGTCTCTCACTGCCCATTTGCTAATGTGCTCATCACTGCAGTGTCTGAACACACCAGAAGCAGAAAAGATCTGCTCAGAGCATCCTTCACAGTCCCTGGGGAGTGCCCTCTGTCCTAGAGGGTCTATAAATCCCGACTTAGGTATTGAAACACCATCAGTTACAACACCAAAGTGTTTCGTTAGCCAGGCAGCGACATCTTGAGGATTATAAACTCACATCAGAAGGAAAGTAAAAACTGCATATTCTGCCTCATCTGCTTGGCCCAGATTTGGACTTAATTGTGTGAGGTTTGTTAGGAGAGAGCTAGGTCTGACTGAGAGTGAATTGTATGAATGGAGGTCACCAGCCCTCTCCTTAAGTAATGTAAAAAACAAATCCATAGTACTGATGAGTCCTTACTGAAAGGAAATAACCAAATTTCTGACATCTTTCTATTGACAGCAGTTCTGCTGACAGTCTGCTGCATGAGGAGGAAGAAAAAGACATCCAACCCAGAAAACAACCTGAGCTATTGGAATAATGCTATTACCATGGACTACTTCAACAGGCATGCTGTAGAGTTACCGAGAGAGATCCAGTCCCTGGAGACTTCAGAGGTACCTCACTTGCAGAACTAGTGTCTGAAAACTGTAACTGAAGCCGTGCTGGGAGAAAGGGAGAGGAAGTCATATTAATAAAGCCTTGAGATCCCTATGCATATTCAGGGAAATAGCTTTTTGAGGACTCACCCCTACATATCTACAAGATGGCATAAATATGGCACCAAAACTGGGTTGCCATCCTGTTCCCAGCCCTTGCAGATATGTTCCCTACTGCTGTGTGCTCACAGCAATTCACCACCCCTAGGTGAATTTGTTGCCAGGTTTCTCTTCCTTTCGAGCCTATGCCAATGTCTGCCCATACCACCACTGCTTCGGAGCGCTCTTTGGGCTGGCTTGTTACTGGCAATTCAAACCTGCCTGTTGTGCGTTTCCCACACAGCAGCAGATGAGTAGTGGGAGTCAATAATGCAAAGAAATTTTGTGCATTTATGTCTCAGGAGCTGCCCATAGCTTCTCAAATACCAGTTCAGGGGGTGAGTGTTTCCAGTATATAAGCAATCAAAACATCAACATATGATAGTGTGTGGTGGTGGTGTATACTCATCAGCTTTTACTTAAGGGGTACTACTGGTTCAGTGGGATTATTCATATATGGGCAGGTGATACTACTGATAGAAATGTATTCTCTGGCCTCAGAGATAAGAACAATTTAGCTTAGTTCAGAGTTATTTAAAACCTAGAAACAGTGGAGTTTGGGTTTATGGTAAAGTGATTTTCAGATTAGCTAGCTGACTAACTCATCTCATTAACTAAAAAAGAAAAAAAAAGTGTTTAGAAAGAAACCTCTGAGATGTGACTAGACAAGCACTCACATTTTTTTCATTAATCCCACTTTGCTGGCAACCATGTTGTTCAAGCTAAGGCAGGACCTGGTCTAGACTTACCAAGAATTGAAAGATTTAAAGCTGATGAGAACATGACTGAACTGGGGCATGCTCAGGTAGCTTGGAACCATATATATGATTTTCTGATCTTAAAAAAACAGCTGAAAAATCCATCTTTGAGGAATCAAGCCCAGCTGATAGTCAGGAAACTGTTGCAACATGTCAGGAAAGTGGGAAGAAAAATAAGAAAAAAAGAATGTGAAAGTTCATATTCTGCTATGGGACCTGAAGTTTGGTGCATCTGACTTCTGGGTCCGCAGACTGAGGAAAAAATCAGCCTGACTGTCAGGGGAGCTCTTCACTTGTGGCTCCTACTGCCTGAAGAAGGGCAAAAATGGCTCTCCAGGAGCCGGGCACTCCAAAATTCAGGCACTTTTGGAGGATTGGGAGAAGCAAAAAAAATAACAGTCCATTTCTCACCTGCATTCGCACAGGGCAGCGG